ACAATTTACAAAAGAATTGGTTACAATACCGAAGAAATAAAAACCAGAAATTTGATGTAAATAAATTGGAAATTATATCTCACCAAATGGAGTTGTTTTTTTCTTAAAGTAAAGAAAAAAAAAAACTAAATAATTAGAAGGAAACAAACACAATCGGCAATAAAAACGAAAACAGCAACGGCAGCAATAATATGACGTACATCATTGATCGTCAATGAAATTCATAGTAAAATTCATTGAACAAACGCTTTAAATTGCGCAAAAAAAGGGGGAGGCGACACAACGAAGTAAAGAGGAAGAGGAAAAGGGGGGAATAAGAGAGCGAGAGAGTAAGAAGAACGAACCAGATGATGTAAGCAGCCACCACCGCAGACACTAGCAACATACAGATTCACGGTCAGGTATTTTAATTCATTTATTTCCTTTTTGTTCCTTGTTCTTGTCCCCTATCTACGGAGGAGCCCCGATGTGTGGCTGAGTGCAAACTGCCACCGCTGTGGCTGAGGTCAGGTGAGGGAGTGTTCATGTGATGGCACCGTAGGGAGGACGTCGGACGGTTACAGACGGACTCACGGTGGACAGACGGACGATAGACAACCGACGAGACTTTTTGTATTCTTTGTCATTAGGCTCGGAGAGCCAAACCCCGTTAACAAATACGCTCTACCGGCAGCAAGGGGCTAGTACCATGACAAACTTTTTACGTATATTTTTAGATTTATATAATAATCCGTATATCTGAAAATGAAAATATTTTGGTTCATCTCAAGGCAAAATTAAAAATTTTTAAATATGGAGGAACAACCATCCTTTGAAACTATGCAATATCCAGTTCATACAAAAACGTTCTCTGTGCCCAAGGATCCGCTTTTACGGCAAGTTTACGATGTTTACAAGCCTTCCCCGCGCATATTTAAGTTGAAAAGCGAAAGTGGTCGAACAATTTATGCGGAGGGTTTTATTGAGGATAGAAAACTTGGTGTCGATTTATCCGTACGAAGCTGGCTCAAGCCTTTGGACCGGATCCATTGCCTATGATTGCCTCTGATCCCTCACATTTGAAAACTCATTACGACAGTTTAGACGTTGAAATGCCTTTAAAGGACTGTTATCATATAGATAATGATCGTTTCTGGAAGCGTGTCGTCCTTGCCGAGAGTCCTGATCAAACATTGGCTCTTAAATCCAATTACAATTGGAAAAGTGCCAGCATTTCTATAAAATTTGTTGAAATAGTCGAAGCTTGCGCTGCCGAATTATGGCCCGAAGAGGGAATGACAAGATTTACTCTAAGCATTCGTGGATGTCACAGAAACAACAGAAACAACAACAACTACGCCCGACGAAACCGAAGCAACGGAAATAGGTGAGGAAAAGAAAATCGAATCGCAACTTGAGTTGGAACGATTAATAATCGAAGAGAAAGCCGAACGAAAACTACGCGAAGTTCGGCAAAAAGCTCGTGAAGAGCGCGAGGCAAGACGTAAGCGTCACGCAGCCAAACGCGAAAAAAAAACTTAAACTGGAGTTGAAAAAGGGCAAAAAGAAGAAAAAGAAACAACCCAAAGATTTTCACGGCATTGAACTTACAAGTAGTAAGTGGGATGTCGATGCGAAAATATGTGATAAAAGGAACAAAGAGTTATTCCTTGCCTATAAGAAAATGTATGACTATCCTTCAGATCATTACCCTCATATATATTTACGCTTCATTCAATGGCTTACAAACTTGGATACATTTATTATCGAGTTTCTTGGACCTGAGTTGCATCGTAACTATCACTCCAGGCATTTGAACTTTTCGTATGATGACATCAAACGATTATGTGAATATCTTTGTAAGTACATCTTTCAAGAGATTTATTTTTTCTAATGGGTGTTTTTGCGGCAATATAAGCCGTTTACCAGTATTGCGTGTTTTTCGCTTTAGTAACAGTCGTATGGATACCAGAAAGTTAGGTATTTTATTTGATGGCCTAAAGGATGTTAGTACACTGGAAGGTCTTGATCTTGGTTGAATGATACGTGCGGTCACCATTTTAAAAAATTATTAAAAACCTCCCAAGCATTACATTCATTAGCACTTGAGTCAAATGATTTGCGCGCACAAGCTATGAAATATTTAAGTTTGGCTTTGTTAAACTACAGCCAAGGCAAATTGAAATATTTGGGACTCGCTCGCAATCCTCTCACCGATGAGGCTTTGCATTCCCTTATATCGGCCATTTACGATACCGAACATATTGAAACTTTGAACCTAAAAGAGGTCACGCATTTAACAGAAGTGGGCATAGCTTACAATACATCTTTAACAAGCAGGAAAGAAGAAAGAATTTACGATTATCCCAGTTGTAGCAGCAAATTGTCAGCAGCTGCATGTCGACAGACCGATGATACTACGACACCAGAATTAGGGGAGTTTGTTAAAAATGCTGTTGAAACAAGTACACCAGGCGTCAATAGGAAATTGCCAGTTCCGGAAATAGAAAAAGATAGCGACCCAGTATTTATGGCAAACCGACCAAAGAGGTGGCGGCTATCGGGTTTAAGTCGTACTCGTACTAATTCAAAGAAATAACAAATGAAGATATTGATGGAACACGCAAATTTTATTATAAGATTCATTTATTTTTTTTAATGTTAGTACATTTTGAATCCTTTCTTATGCTTTTTTCTTATTGGGTTCCATACTCATTGGCGTTGCTGGTGTGGCCATCTATCGCTATAAATACTAATTGGCTGGATAATATATACTAAAGAAACGAGAAATGATTATTTTATAACATATAAAAATACCTATGTACACACATGCTTCAAGGCTCTTCAACTCCATGCAAGTTTAAATTAATTTTGCTATTTTTTCGCATTTTATTTAATTAATGACATTTGGATGTATTTTTCTTATCCTTGGTTTCTTATATCTTTTTGCTATTCAAATACTTTATAGTTATAGCTTTTTTAATGTTTATATATAATATATATTATTACATTTTTTTTTTTTTTTCAATAAATGCATGAATACATTTTTGTTTACACTTATTTTTCATCATAAAATTAAA